AGGGCCTTCCACGTGCTAGGCAAGGGCTCTACCGCTGAGCCACAACCCCAGCCCCATTTTCTTATTTAAAAAAATAATTCAGTGGCTCAGTTTAATAATTTTTAGTATATTTCTCAGTGTTTTGTATCCAGAACTATGGTTAATTTTAGAATATTTTTATTGTCTTTAAAACTCATACCCACTATGATTCTTCCCTCCCTCTAGAGCTGGGCAGTCATTAATCTACTTTCTGCTTCTGTGAATTTGCCTATCCTGGGCATTTCATGTAAATGGAATCATTTGATGTAGGGCCCCTTATTACTGGCTTCTTCCACTTAGTATAACATTTCCTTATTGTCGAATAGCATCGCTGAATAGTACTCCATTGTGTGGATATACCACATTATTTTACTTATTCATTCATCTAAGTGATTTTTAAATATAGTTTCATCCAATCTGCTGATTTTAGCTCACCTTCAAACTTCACTTCAGAAAGAAACTCCAGTTACCAATTCCTAAGATCTGGGGGTAGGGGAGGACTGCGGGCGGGGGAGGGGGGGGGGTCAGCGTAAATTGGGCTGCTTCTCAGCTTCCCAACCTTTGCCATATACTTTGGCATTCACAGGTCTTCTAAATCAATTATCATTTGAGCCAGGCTTTCTAGCACCCAGAATTTTGTTTTTATTTTCTTCCCTCCTATTCTCTTTGTCCTTATGGTTTATAACATCCTCACCCCAAAATCTTATTCTTTACACTTTAGAAAAAGTTGGAGGGGAATAAAGGCTAGTACACTTAGCCAACAGTCATCTTTAGCCAAAATTCCTAAGATCAATCTTTAATAATACAAGAAGAAATGGTTTTAATCTAGTTTCATGAAACCAACAGAAGTAGTTACAAAATGGAACTACTGAAAAGTAGTACTATCAGAAAAGCTATAAACAGTTAGCTTAGACAAATGTATGCATACAAGAAGCTATAAATAATACACAGTGTGGGTTCATTTTTGTTTTAGGCTAGTATGACCAATGCAAATCTCTGCCTGGTCCCTCTTGCTCTTTTCATTGCTCATGGTTCAGTGCCTTCTATAGATCTTCTTCTGTGTCCTATACTGTCCCATATCCCAAACCCTCTTCTACCAAAAGTTCTCTTCCTGGTGTCAGGGCAAAATTTTAGACCAATTGCAGAGAATTCTGTCTCTAAGTCCCCCAAGACTCCTTTAACTAGACTCTATAGAGCATGTTCCAGATTTGGCTGTGTTCATTCCCAGGGTCCTCCTCAATGGTACCACATACTACTCACACCTAGAGATCCACTTAATTCAGTATTTGCCCTTTTCCAGGAAACAGTTTTTTCAGTTGCAGCAGCTACCGTGAAATACCGTAGCTTATCCACACGACCTGGTTTCCTTAAGGAGACTGACTTCCAGGTTCTGTGTGTGCTTCCTGAAAACAGAGTTCTCCACAGTGTAATGATCATAGATTCTGTTATTTCCCGGTTCTTGTTACATTGTTAAGAATGTGACATTGATATATGACATGAGACATAGTCCCTATGCTACATTTGTATGTGTCATTTGTTTAACATAGATGAGAACTAACTGAATATTATCCTATTCAATCTTTTATTTAGTTTTCACTGGACCTTTATTTTATTTATTTATATGCAGTGCTGAGAATTGAACTCAGTGCCTCGCACGTGCTAGGCAAGCACTCTACCACTGAGCCCCAGCCCCAGCCTGTTCAATCTTAATTATGCTATAAATTAGAATAATTCATGCTCAGACAATTTTAAGTGATAACTCTGCCCTACGAGGTGATGATTATTTAATTAAAGTGTTTCCTATGTAGTTCTACTGTCTTTCTGACTCCCAGTTTTAAGTCACACCTCATGCCTGTGGATCTTTGAGGCATCTTTGGGTCTCAATGTTAAAAAAAAAACACTTTGCTTTGTGAACCAGGTTTACAGGTTTACACAGAAATTCCAAGTTTCTAGTCCAGATTCTTCTTCCAACTTGCTGTGTGGCCTTCCACGAGTCATTTCCTACTCACTCAGTCATTTCTTCATTTCAGCATGGAGGGGGTGTCTATTAACGTCTCAAGGGCATTATAATAAAGGGGAGAGCAGTAGTCAAAAGAAAAGGAACTGAAAATATCAAGATCTGTGATAAGAACCAAAACAGTACCAGTAAACCTAGCATGTATATAGCCCAAACCAAAAGCTTGTTTTGTTATGGAAAAAAAAAAGAACAATGTCTGATTTTAACATTCACACATTCCAAACCATAGTCTTCCAAGCCTTTCTCCCACAGCCAAGACTGATGGTAGGAGCCAGGTCTAAAGGAAAGTTTCCAGAAAGCACATTTTGGCAAAGTTTGCCTTTAAACCTACAGAGAATACAGTTCGGGGCTTTTTATTTTTAATTTTATTATTTTTTTATTTTATAGAACACTTTCATTCCTTTTTGCCACAGATTTCATGAACTATGTTTATTTTTCCTTTTCGGTTCATAGTATATGGGTTTTTTGCAATCAGATGTGAGGAACAGACCCATTTCTTGAGAGTTCTTTCTTTCATTTCTCCCTTTCTTTCTGTCTTTCTTTTTTTTTTTTTCCTTACAAAATTCTTTCAACTTGTAGGAAGAGCCAAAGTCTAAGGTTATATTTTAAGAGAATCATTCTTCCAATGTGCTCATTAAATTACTTAAGAGAAAGAATGAGAGATGAAAGTCCACCTTCAAACTGCTTGCAGAAGAGATTAACACGTGCCAAGTTGAAAGAAATGATAATTAATTACAGTCCCTGGACAAATGGCTTATGTGGCCTACAGTCTGGTACCCAGTGATGGCAGTGGGCCCTGAGTCTGTTTGGGATCGTTTTTGTAAACCAAAAAACAACCACTGCAAGTGTACTGGTTTTAGAGGAATGTCCACGAAAATTGCCCTCCTTCTCTTCACAACATGTCATTACAGAAAAATAGAAGCCCGTACATTCCAGTCTGATTTCCATGTAACTTTGCAAGTCTGTGAATTTTGCCATGAGGTAAGGGGCTGATTCAGAGCTCCAGAATCCTTTTAGTGCCACAGACACTATTTTAAAATGGATATTCCTTTTGGTTTCTCGGTGTTATTCAGCTAGGGTCATGGAACAAATGGGGCTCTGTCTGACGGAGAACTTCCAGTCCTGGTAAACAAGAACAGGGATGCCTGGTGGCCAAAGTTACTGCCTTGTGTTTTAAAGGTTAGGAGTTCAAATCTTGTGGGTCTGTTCATGTGTTCAAGTATGCACGTAGCTTGATTGAAAAAGCATTATCACTGCACACTGGAATCTAGTCTATCCATAGCTAAGTTCTGGCTACAATTAATTAAGCAAATACTTCCTATGGAATTCTTTACCTTGTAGATCCTGGACAAAGGGCTAATATTCCAGAAAGCACAGGAAAGCTTTATTTTCCACACTTCCTGACCCCTACTTGTACAGGAACTTGAATTCCACCACCTAGAAATAGAGTCTATGCTTGCCACATTCTTTAAATTTTGATATACCTGTGGCCACAGGCATTCTTTCCCCTATTCATTCTCTTTTCTTCTGATTTTCTGGGGAGATAATAATTTACAGATTGAAAGGTATGTTCCTTGCATTGATAAACTCGGCTGTGGCTCTCAGCAATAAGCCATTGAAAATAGGCCCCACTGAAAGAAAATATAACCTGCATTTTTTTTTAATATTTATTTTTTAGTTTTTTTTTTTTCGGCAGACACAACATCTTTGTTTGTACGTGGTGCTGAGGATCGAACCCGGGGCCACACGCATGCCAGGCGAGTGCGCTACCGCTTGAGCCACATCCCCAGCTCTATAACCTGCATTTTTAAGGCACGTAATTTCAGTGGTCCAATCTTCATAATACCTTGTTTTCCTGTGGCATTTTACTGTTTATAAAGCACTTTACATATATGGTCTCCTTTTATAAGCATAGCCATTGGGTAAGGCAAATATTGTGCCCATTTTACATGAGACCCAGGGAGAGGGAGGGACGGGATTCTAAGTTACAGTTAGATAGGAAAAAAAAATGTTCTGGTGTACTATTGCACAGTAGATAACCACAATGTACTGTATGTTTCAAAAAAGCTAGAAGAAAGGATATTAAATGTTTCAGCTCAAAGAAATGATAAATATTTGTGGAGGTAGATATGTTTACCCTGATTTGAACATTACACAGTGTGTACAGGTATTGAAACATCATATGGTACCTCAGAAGTGAGTATACATTTTTAATGTGTAATTTTAAAATTTCTAAATAAATAAAAATAAAATTTAAAGAAAGAAAAGAAAAATGAGACCCATAGAAATTAAGAAGCTTTCTGAAAATGGCTAGAGTACAGCTCAGTGGTAAAGCACTTACCTAGCAAAAAAGAGGCCCTGGCTTTGGTCTCTAGCACTCTCAAAATTGTAGATCCAATTAGTGTCAGAACCAGTACTTCACAACTCCACAAGTTTTCATCACTATAGAGGAATTGTTTCCAATAGCAAAAAAATTGTCATACGATCAAACTGATGTTTTAGATTTTGTTGCTGGTCCTACTTTATTGAGCTATGCCACTGTCGTCTTGGAAAGAAAATATAATGCTGGATGGAGCTCCCTGTACATGCTGAAGTGCCAAGATTGGAGCAGTTTAATTATCTGTGACCCTACTCCCCCCATACACCCATAAATAAAGGGAAGTAACTAACCCTTTGTGCCCTCTAGCACCAAGGATGCCTGAAATTAGAAATATCCCAGTACTGTGACCTAAAGTTGCCTCCACAGGAAGTTCTGCTTTTTAAATTAAAACTCCAGCCATTTTCTTTCCAGTTATTCTTATTACCAATGGGGCTCTGGACAAATAATTCCCAGGAAAGCTGTCCATGTATATGTGAAATAAGACAATCATGATGCCTGTTCCTGACCTACCTGACAAAAAGTGTTGGGAAAAGCAGTAAGATAATGTCTGTCATGTGTTTTGAATGCCTAGAAAGAAAGACAGGGTTCACAAGCAAGGGTGTAATTATATTGAGTCACCAATGATATCATCGTCTATAGTTTACACATGTGGTTGTTGCCTAAGATACTGATGAATATAATTTGACCATCAAGTTTGATGCTTTAAGGACATGATGATGTTACAATAAATTAGCAGAAAATCCCACATTGGGAAAGGAAGGTATCCTTTTCTTTTAAATTCCTGTATGACTGAAATTTATTTGGGGCTATCTTTTCCAGCTGGTCTTGCAATTAGGACCACCTCCAAGGTTCACAAGTACTCCTTCCATTTTTTTCATCAGTCAGGTGATTTTCCCTCTGGCTTGGTCTGGATGCTGTGGTGGGAGAGTGACCTGCAGAGTAGAGGAGAAAAGTTGTGTTCAACTCTGCTGAGGGTCACCAAAATTTAGTAGCCCAAAAGGAGGATTTCTTTCTTTCTTTTTATGGTACTGGAGATTGAACCCAAGACGTCATGCATGCTAGGCAAGCATGTAACCACTGAGCTGCATCCCCCAATGGAGGCTTTCTGTGACCAAGCATCTAGAAAACCTAATTCTGTTAGGTCTGTTCCCCAAGAGCAATGTCTTGTCCTTTGCCTAACAGGGCCAGACATATATGACCTTTTCCCAACCACTATTTGTATTTGTTTAAAAGAATAATTCTAAAAACTAAAACCAGGGCTGTAGTTGTAGCTCAGTGGTGGAGCGCTTGCTTAGCATATGTGAGGCACTGGGTTTGATCCTCAGCGCCACATAAAAATTAATAAATAAAACAAAGGTATTGTTGTCCATCTACAACTAAAAAAATTTTTTTAGATTAAACAACTAAACTAAAACCATAGTTCATAACATATAAAGAACCTTTTAGTATGAAAGGCACTACTTGAGACACTGGGGATAGAAAAGTTAAAACACTACTTCTCAGAAAAATGCCTGTCCTTGGAGGAGATAAGCAAGCACTCAAATAGGACCACCATCCAGCCCAGGGTCTGACACACAGTAGGACTGTAAGTGTACTTGCTGAATGAATGAGCAATAGTGGTAAGAACCACAAGAACCATAGCAAGGTGGTAAGAACCATAAGAAAAGCACAAGGTGTGTGGAAAGAGGTAAGAGAACATCTAGTCAAGAATAGCAAGAGAGCCAGATGCATTGGTGCATATCTGTAATCCCAGTGGCTGGGGAGGCTGAGGTAGGAGGATCTCAAGTTCAAAGCCAGCCTCAGCCACTCAGTGAATTCCTAAACAACTTGACAAGGCCCTGTCTCAAAAATAAAAAATAAAAAGGGCTGGGCATGTGGCTCAGTGGTTAAGCACCTTTGGGTTCAATCCCTGGTACCAAAAAAAAAAAAAAAAAAAAGGTAAGAGAATAGGTAAGTGTGTTCAAGCATGCCTAGAATCCCATCTACTCAGGCAGCTGAGGCCAGAGGATTGCAAGTTAGAGGCCAGCCTATACAATTTAGTGAGGCTGTCTCAAAATAAAGTTTTTAAAAAGGTCAGGAGATGTCACTCAGTAGATTACTCCTGGGTTCAATCTTCAGTACTTGGGGGGCAGGGGGGAAATGACAATAGAAGAAATGAGTTGGCAAGAAAGACCATGAGCAATGCTGCACATAGGCCAGCGTGGAAAGCATGCAGCTGACAATGCCAAGAACATGGTGTGTCAGGCTTTTTATTCTATTTAGTTCGCTTAAAAAAAAAATGCCAGTCACAGCCCACTAAAGTTCTCAACCCACCTTGTGAAAAAGAATTTTCCTTTCTACACACCTGTTGGCCTTGCAATTAGAATTAAACAACAGAATTTAAATATTTGCTGAGGAGTTCTTAAATTTCTGCATTTAGGCACAATCTGTTTCCATTCCATTTCAATGTTCTTCTTTACAGAGTCGCAACCAACAATCTGTATTAGTTCTCAATGGCTGCTATAACAAATTGCCATAAACTGAATGGCCCGAAATATACTCTTTCAAGGTTCTGGAGGCCAGAAGTCTGAAGTCAGTATCATTAGGCTGAAATCAAAGTTATCAGCAGAGGCCACACTCCTCCTGAGGCTCCAAAGGAGAATCTGGTCTTTGACTCTTTTTACAGCTTCTGGTGACACTGGCAATCCTTGGTTTGTGACAATGCTGCTGCTATCAGTTTCCATAGTCCCATTGTCTTCTGTCTGTTAAATGTCCCTCTGCCTCCCTCTTATAAGGATAAATGTGATTGCATTTAGGGCCCACTGGAATAAGAATTTTTTTTTAGATAAAAAAAACTAAACTAAAACCATAGTTCATAACATATAAAGAAACTTTTAGTATGAAAGGCACTACATGAGACACTGGAGATACAAAAGTTAAAACACTACTTCTCAGAAAAATGGCTGTCCTTGGAGGAGATAAGCAAGCACTCAAATAATCTCCCATCTCCACATCTACAATGTAATCCCATCTGCAGAGTTCTTTTTTGCCACAGGAGATAACATTCGCAAGTTTCAGGGATATCACTGGGGGCAGGAGAGGTTTTATCCAGCCTGCCCGCCACATTATCTGTATCGGAATCACTGAACATCCAGTACAAACCTCTTGAATATTATGTTAGTTTTTTTGTGTTGCTGTAACAGAACACCACAGACTGGACAATTTGTAAAAGAAAGAAAGAGAGAAAGAAGAAAGGGGAGAGAGAGAGAAAAAAAGAAGGAAAAAACAAAGAGGAAGAGAAGAGAAAGAGGGGAGAAAGAAAGAAAGGGAAGGAATGGTAAGAAAGGAATTCACTTAGCTCACAGTCTGGAGGCTGGGCAGTCCAAGATGCAAGGACAATGTCTGGTTAGGGTTTTCTTCATTCCAAGCTGAAGGAAGAAGCACAAGAATGCAAGTGAACCAGAGGGAGCCAAACTCACTTCCCTAACCTCATGATGTCTAACTCCCTCCTGTGGTAATGACATCAGTTCATTCACAAGGGCAGAGCCCTCATGCTTTAATTGCTTCTTAATAGGCCCCACTTTTCAACTGCTATTTGAGGATTATGTTTCCACCACATGAACTATGGGAGACATATTCAAACTACAGCAAATATTTCAGCTGAGTTCTTCTCTACTTTAGGAAGGCAGACTAAGTCCTCTCCTCTTGTTTTAGGGGAGAAGAAAAATGGGTGAAATAAAGATAATTTTACTGAGCCTCTGATATTTGTCAAATGAGGTGCACGCATCTTCATCACAAGATTGTGGAAAGCTATTGTCACTATTTTACAGATGACAAAAGTGAGGCTCAGAGAGGCCAAGTGACTTGTCCAGCAACTAAGTGGTGAAGACAGAATTTGAACACGGATCGTTCTGATGTCAAAGGAAATGCCCTTTCCACTACATCAACAGTCCTCAAATTTCAGTAACATACCAACACATTGAAAGGAAAAAAAAATTTTTTTTCCACAGACCCCAGTTTGAGAAACAACTGAGTTGCTGGGAACCATGATGCAAGTCAGTTGCTAGGGACACTGAAGCAGGAGGATAGCAACTCAGTAAGGCCCTGTCTCAAAAAAAAAAAATGGCCGGATGTAGCTCAGTGGTAAAGTGGATTCAATCTCCAGGAAAGGAAGAAAAGGAGGGAGGGAGGGAGGAAGGAAGGAAAGGGAGGGGAAAGGAAGGACAGTGGACTTAAGGAACTAAGTTTTATTCTATAAAAGCACACTTTTTTATTTTTGTGTACCAGGAATTGAGCCCAGAGGCGCTTAACCAATGAGCCTCATCCTCAGCCCTTCTTTGTTTTTTTATTTATAGACAGGGTCTCACTAAATTGTTGAGGGTGGCTTTGAACTTACAATCCTCCTATCTCAGCCTCCTGAGCCACTGGGATTACAGGTATAGCCACTGCATCCAGTTAAAAGCATACATTATAAAAGGCTCAAGTTGTCCCCAAATCCTGGTCACTGACAGACCTCAGCTACAGCTATAAGACACCATGGTACTCATTATTCTTGAGAACTCCATTTCAGAGGATGTTAATATGAGGACCCATGATGGTTGCATTTCAACCATGCTGCTCAGCTGCTTAGGAAGGACTTCAATGACACAAAGCATTTGCCAGTAAGATTTTAACACCACCAATGCATTAATATTATTGAGGTGAGTTAATTATTCCCACCAGAGAGATACTTGAACTTCAGTTGGATTAAAGTAAATGACTGTGTTTTTTTTCTGAGCTTAATCTGAATTATTATCTGGATGTTTTATGAAAGCAGATGGAAAATGTTACCCTCCTTCTGGCACGTGTAACCCCCATACCGATAGTAATATTGAAGATTAATTGCTTATCAAGCAATTATTTGATTACAATTACTAGGTGCCAAGTACTAAGCACTTCATATTAATTAATGTATATAATACTCATAAAAACTCTATGAGAATATATATATATATATATATATATATATATATATATATATATATATACACACACTTTTTTTTTTGTACTAGGGATTGAACCCAGGGGCACTTTACCACTGAAACACATCCCCAGCCCTTTTTATGTTTTATTTTGAGACAGGGTCTTGCTAAGTTGCTGAGGCTAACTTTGAACTGGAGATCCTCCTGCTTCAGCGTCCCAAACTGCTGGGATTATAGGTACATGCCACTGCACCTGGTTGAAGTCATATTCTAGTTGTCCCTTTATCAAATGATAAGACTGAGGCATACAAAGGTTAGGGGGTATTCTTTGGATCTGAAATGTCCCCCAAAGACTCACTTATTAAAGGCTTGGTCACCAGCCTGTGGTGTTACTGGGAAGTAGTGGAACCTTTAAGAAGTGAGGGTCTAGTTGAAGGAAATCAGGTCCTTAGGAGTGTTCCCTTGAAGGGGATATTGAGACCCCAGGGTCCCCTCTTTTTGCTTCCTGGCTGACCAGAGGTGAACAACCTCCTCTTATGGGTTTTTTCTTTCTTTCTTTTTCTTTAGCTGTAGATGGACATAATACCTTTATTTTGTCTTTTTATATGATGCTGGGGACCAACCCCAGTGCCTCACTGAGCCACAACCCAGGCCCTCTATGGGTTCTTTCAATACTCCAGCCATGATGTGCTGCCTCACCACAGGCCCCAAAACAGCAGAGCAAACTAACCATGAACAAAACTTCTGAAATTGTAAGACAAAATAAACCTTTTCTGTTTTTAAGTTGATTATCTCAGATATTTTGTCACACTGACAGAAAGCCAATTACACAATTAGGTAATTTCTTCAAAGTCACACAACTTGTAAAAAGTGTAGCCATAGCCAGGTACAGTGACAATACCTGCAGTTCCAGCTGTTTGGGAGGCTGAGGCAGGAAGATTGCTTGAACCCAGGATAAAATATTTCAGGTTCAATCCCTGGTACCTCCCCCCCAACAGATATATATATTCATAGGGAAAGGTTTTTTGGGGGGGGAGTTGTGGGTACCAGGTATTGAATTCAGGGGCACTCGACCACTAAGCCATATCCCCAGCTCTATTTTGTATTTATTTAGAACAAGGTCTCACTGAGTTGCTTAGAGCCTCGCTTTTGCTAAGGCTGTCTTTGAACTTGCGATCCTCCTGTCTCAGCATCCAAAGCCTCTGGGACCTATGAATATATTGATGATCCTTAAAAGGCCCCAGGTAACCATGAAAGCTATGTAAATATACTGACAATCCAGAGGCAACTCATTGCCAAATTTTGTAATAATGCAGAGATCACATAAAGTTAATCGCCTAAAGTTCTTTTTAAAATATTTTTTTTAGTTCCAGATGGACACAATATCTTTATTTTATTTATTTTTACGTGGTGATGAGGATTGAACCCAGTGCCTCATCTGTGCAAGGCAAGCGCTCCACCACTGAGCCCCAGCCACAGCCTGCCTGAAGTTCTTAAATTGTACCTCACTTTTCTGAGGTGAGCATATCTGTATCGGTTCCAAAATAAAGGGATTTTTCTCATATCTTAATCACTGGTTTCCAATCTACTCCTAAGACTCCAAACTCTGAAGTGGTCAACCCCACCAGTTTTCTCCTACATAGTCCAGTTTAGGGTCTGTGTCTGGCATCCTGCAACAACAGCCACGGTAACACCAATGCTGTCCTTGAATTTATTTCATCATTTGGACTCTGCATCCAACCTCGAAGTTTGGACATTTATGAGCAGAAAGTTACATTCCCAAATAAGGAAGTCAATAAAAGATCCATGTTTACATTTCCTACTCCTTTCCCAGTCCCTGCACTTATACGGCCCTTCTCTGAGGTAATATCAATCTATTTAATCAGCTTCCCTAAACTGTAAGTTCTTCTGAGAAAAAAAAAAAAAAAAAAAAAAAAAAAACAATCCTTCAAGTATTTTGTTTTCCCTTCACTTCCCTTGGTTAGCAAGCTGCAGACAGTCTCACAGCTGGATGGGCATTCTTCATCTGACTCCTGGTCCCTCAGCGGGGAAAAAATGGTAATTCTTATTTTATTATTGAGTATGGAGTTTACTAAGAGAGGTCAGTTCTTGTGAGCAGTAGATTTTCAACCACATGAAAATGGAACATTTTCCATTTCAGGAATCCAACTGAAAGAACACCACACCGTATTCCACTCTGGGGAGGGGAGTTCACTTCTGAACATCGTCGCCTGCTTTTGCCCCTTCCTCTCCAAGATCCTCGATCCTTTATAGAGTACAGTAGTTCTCTTTTATTGACAGAGAATCTGCTTCAAGACCCCAGAGGATGCCTGAAACCACAGCACCAAATCCTATACATACTGTTTTTTCCTGTATATATAAATACCTATGATAAAGTTTAAGTTATAAGTTAGTCACAGTAAGAGATTAACAACAGTGACTCATAATAAAATAGGATAATTATAACAAAATGCTGTAATAAAAGTTATTTAAAATGTATGAATTATTTATTTCTGGAATTTTCCATTTAATATTTCTGGGCTGCTGTAAATAATAATAAGGGGGAGCCTACTAGATATAAATGTTATGCACTTTGGTCATTCTGGTTACCCAGGCTTTAAACATCCTTTCCCTTTGAGGGAACTGTGAGAAGAGGGGAGGCAGGACTCCATTTCCTTCTTTAGAAGTCAAAAAGGACAGTTTCCCTCTTTGCTTCAGCAGTTAGAAAACCAGCTTATCACCTGGACTCAGCTGGGACATTGTGCCTGTTGGGAGACAGAAGTCACCTGCAGTGGTCATGGTGGTATTGGGTGTCTTGCAACATGACAATGCTTGTTCAGGGATATTAGGACGTGGCAGCACGATGACAAGTGTTCATCAGGACAGCACTGGTGGCAGGATCCTAGGCACATTATCCCTGTGGCTCTTTCCTAGATCTTGGCTATACCTTGTCTCCCTTGCTTTTCATTCCCATCACCCATTCTCCAGGGTTCTCATGGAGCCTGTGAACTATGCAACATTCTTCCAATAAATTTATTTCCACTTGAGATTTTCATTGGTTGCCACCAAAAATTCCAACTTGTATACCATCCTCTCCTTCTTTAACACATGACCCAGGAACAACTTGATGTGGTAGACTTGATCAGGTCACATCTTTCCCTCACACTGACCCTCACATCATGTGGCAATTGCTCTACTTTTTCTTAAATATGCAGAGGCTATGTGCACTCCAGGAACACCCATGGAGGACCTTAGAAGACAAGTGCCATGGGACCCCAGCAAACCCAGGATGAATGGGAGAATGGATCTGAGAGCTTCTTAGCACAGAGCAGATATGTTCACTTAAGAACAAATGAAAAGGGGCCAGGGTTGTGGCTCAGTGGTAGAGCACTTGCCTAGCATGCACGAGGCACTGGGTTCAATTCCCAGGCACCACATAAAATAAATAAATAAATAAATAAAAGTATTTAAAAAAAATGAAAA